CGTAACTCTTGAATCGCACATTGGAGCACTTTGGGATTTGTGGCAATATACAGGTGGGAGTTTCAACCCAGAAAAACTGAGTTACGATCAATTGAAAAATAGAAAAATTTCGATCCCAGGGGTTTGAAAGTTCTACAGCTGGTCCATACAGGGTTATAAAGATAGGCAGCATTCTAAAGTCAAGGTGCAGCCACGCTATTACTAGTAGTGTGTTCTTGTCGCTAATGTTGTTTACGCCACCCTTTCCTCCCTGGTCGATGTGGTTCTTGGTGTCACAGCCTCCAATATTGTCTGAACTGACCAGGCAGGCCCACTGCATGTGAATGGGGAGAGGGATAGTTGGGTCTCTCTTCTCCTTCCAATTTTGTGAAGTGCTCTGTCCTCACAATTTCAGTAGGTGTTCTCTTGATGGTACTTATGCATGTTGTATGATGTTCTCTTGATGGTACTTATGCATGTTGTATGATGTTCTCTTGATGGTACTTATGCATGTTGTATGATGTACTTATGCATGTTGTATGATGGTACTTATGCATGTTGTATGATGTACGAAATTCCCTAGGTGTGTACATGTCCATTTGGTTGTTCATTGTGTGCTTTGCATGCGCTTTTGACCAATTTTGACCAATAATTAATTGCAGACCGTCGCTTTTCCAGCCTCATCCCGCTGGATAGAGCTAATGACCAGCTTGGTCGTATTCTGAAAAATATTTGCCGTATGAAATGCCTTTTAATTATGGCACGTTTCTAGTGTAAATACATGTAGCAGTAAATGCAGCGGAGTCCTGTACATCCCGCACCCAAGCAGGTCTACAGTATTCCACGGGGTTCGTACACCTGTACAATGGGCATAAGGCTTATTGTATAGAGGTGTGGGTGTTGGTGTTGGTGGTAGTAGTACTGGTTGGGGTGTTGGTGTTATTTAGTGATAGTGGTGTTGATGGTAGTGGTACTGGTTGGGGTGTTGGTGTTATTTGGTGGTAGTGGTGTTGATGGTAGTAGTACTGGTTGGGGTGTTGGTGTTATTTGGTGGTAGTGGTGTTGATGGTAGTAGTACTGGTTGGGGTGTTGGTGTTATTTGGTGGTAGTGCTGTTGATGGTAGTGGTACTGGTTGGGGTGTTGGTGTTATTTGGTGGTAGTGGTGTTGATGGTAGTAGTACTGGTTGGGGTGTTGGTGTTATTTGGTGGTAGTGGTGTTGATGGTAGTAGTACTGGTTGGGGTGTTGGTGTTATTTGGTGGTAGTGCTGTTGATGGTAGTGGTACTGGTTGGGGTGTTGGTGTTATTTGGTGGTAGTGGTGTTGATGGTAGTAGTACTGGTTGGGGTGTTGGTGTTATTTGGTGGTAGTGGTGTTGATGGTAGTAGTACTGGTTGGGTGTTGGTGTTATTTGGTGGTAGTGGTGTTGATGGTAATAGTACTGGTTGGGGTGTTGGTGTTATTTGGTGGTAGTGGTGTTGATGGTAATGGTACCAGTGCATCTAGTATGTACTTAAATCAAAGCAGCCCCCCCCCCCCCCCCCCCCCCGTGCTGTTTATACTGGTTACCCCAGCAAGTGTAGGGTGTATAGGTAGCTGTCTTGGCCGTTCTATTCCGATATACTCTGCATGGTGTAGACCAGGTGTGCATTGGTTGTCGATTCACTTGGCTTCGCCGGTTGTGTGGATTACACAGTTATCTGGCGCTAGTCTTGATCTGTCTCATTCAGACCTTGTCCACTATGGTTGCTATAAGAGAAAATCTGTGGATGCACATCCAGTGCATTTGCATATTTTCGTTCTTCTCTTGCGACGGACGTATACATGGTACATGGCGGTAGTGGTTAAATACTTCTTCTCCAGATCATTCGTTGATAGTTGGATGCAATGTGCTTCCAGGTGTGTTGATGTATACTAACTATATTAATTTTACATGTTTGCTTATTATTACAGCTCTGGAGACCGAGGAGGCAGAACAAGATGAGGAGTTGGCCCAGCTAGTTGATGCCGACTTAAATGTAAGATGAATATTTGATGGATATTTTGTGTTCTTTGGGGGGGGGGGGGGGGGGAGAGGAGTTACGTGATTGTGGCATCGGTACTGCTGCTATTTTGATTGGTATGACTTCTTCCTTGAACAATACGAAGGATCTGTGACACTAGTCTACCCTTTTCAATGACAATTCTCTGAGAATACCACTAAGAGATCAGGTCACATGACAGCAGCGGTGCAAGGAAGGTGAAACAACCACCAGGGAATAGTGCAACATGTTGTGAAGGGGGGGGGGGGGGGGGGGGGGTCGGATGAACGGGACAAGATCATGTAACACAAGGATGAGCAAGGAACAATGGCATACGCACAGCATGATCAGGAGACTCGCTCAACGTACATATACTTCGAAGTACATGAAGGAAAAAGGAGACACTTATCTGTTCACGATGCATGAGATACTATGGAGAGTAATGAACTTCCTTGCTGTACTTCATGTACAGGATTGTGTTTGCGTTGTGTTGTTAATAGTGAGGTTTTGCATTCCGAATTTCGGTTCGGCGTTCTTCGATCATTTGTCGAACATCAAAATTTAGAATTTTCGAACCAGCGTTTGTTTTGCAAGTCTAACATAATGTGTTTTCATTTCGTGAGCTCCAGCATCAGCAACGTCCTATCCCGTGCTCCTTTTCTTGCTGATTCCAACAAACTTTGATTGCCCAAAGAGTCAAGGGCCACACCTGCCTCATCAGTTGCCTCCGAAAAACGAACTCCATGGCCCAGTCGAATTTTATGCGTATCGCCATAGGCTTTTCAGCCACACAGATGACGGTGAGGACACTCCAGGCGAAAGGGAGTAGACAGGCAGTGGAGAGGAGCAATCAGACGTAGCTGACGATGCTGATGTCGCCCAAGATGCCTGGGAAGCCATACCGAGTGAAGAAACCTCTTTGAATATATCATGCGCTAGCGCTATCCTACAAGTACAAGAAAACTCGTCAGAAAAATATTTTCGGCAAAGTGAGCTTTTTCCGAAGTAACATGCCGAATCTTCGTGTGCATTTTCAACCTCGCTCCCGCGTGCCGAATCTTTTGCCGAATTTCGGAATGTAACACCTCACTACTATCTCAATCCCAAACTGTTATTAACGTATTAGGGGTCGTCCACAAATATCAATGTTTTTTTAGAGAAGATATTCGTTCGTTGGGGGGGGGGGGGGGGGGGGGAGGGGGTTTGGGCCCTCTTCGTCTCGTCTTTGCAGAAAAAAATATCGAACTCTATCTATGGACGGGCGCTGTTCGAACATGTAGTTTATGACCTACACAAAGTGAAAGTCAACCTCGTGAGCATAGCCATGGCAAGGTTGTGCAACCGTGTCAACATAAACCTAGGTGTATGGTGAAATTAGAGTGGCAGCTGGTCACGTTTCATGAGGAAATTGAACTTCATTAAAAAATATCGATCCCTTGCATAAACATGTGTATGTTCGTTTTGAGGGTCTGGAGAGAAATGAACAAATATCGTCTTAAAAAAAACATCGATATTTACGGACGGCCCCTTATCACCCCATGTCAGATACATGGTAGGTGGACTTTTTTTTTTTTATACTTGACAAGTATATATTGTGTGTGTGTGTGTGTGTGTGTGTGTGTGTGCGTGCGTGTGTGTGTGTGTGTTTGTGTGTGCGTGTGTGTGTGTGCATGTCTGTGTGTGTGTGTGTGTGTGTGTGTGTGTGTGTGTGTGTGTGTGTGTGTGTGTGTGTGTGTGCATGTTTATTGGACATTGGTTGGATTGGTCAGGCTGATGAGCAAGCGCAGCGTGATGCAACGCGTAAGCAGGAGGAGGAAGTCGAGAAGGCCCGTGGATTGTTCTCACACTGTCGCTTCTTTCTTGGCAGAGAGGTTCCACGGGAGCCACTGGTTTTCATCATTAGGTGAGCCGGGTTGTTTTCCGTGATTCAGCATAGTTTCTTCTTGCTCAGGCATGAATTTATTGTTGGTAAAATTGATCGAACGCTGGAAAAGCACCATATTTCCCCACTCATGTATTATAAAGTCGCATCCAAGTATGCGTCGCCCCCCCCCCCCCCCTTTTTTTAGGTCTCAGCCGTAGAGTTTCAGTAGGTTCATTGAGTAATGATAAGTCACACTCGATTTTAACCCTTTGGAGTCCGTAACATTTTGCTTCCGCAGAATTTGTGGCAGTCACGAAAATGCGCACTCCATTTCCAACATAACTTTGATTCTACTTCACCGATTTTGAAGATCTTGGGCTCGTTGGAAAGCTCTTGATGAGAGAAATACAATGAGCCCAAACTCGCCAAGAGCACTATTCGTTGTCCGCCATAACGCGCCCCAAACGCGAGTCCAGCTCCAGATCTGAGACGAAATCAGTCTCCTGTAGCCGTTTCACTGAATCTAGCTCGGAACTGTTCAATTTTTTTCGAGTAGAAGCTTACCTTGCCGTGACTTCACGCCGCGACGGTCCTGGCACGTGCCGCCTGTCATGAAGCTGGGAAAATCCCTTTTTTCACGCACTGCTGACTCTCAGCACGCAGTGCAGAAAATTCGATATGTTTGATCTCTCCCCGCTCACTCAAATTTGATCAAAGAGACTTCGGACTTGTTCGAGGCAATAGCTGAGAGTTTTCTCTACCATTTAGACCCTTCGATTGTTGCATTTGGTCAAGATTTGGCCGAGAACCGAAAGTTTGACTGTGCCCACATGCATACAAAATGCCCATGGTTCGAAATCGAACCATGGACTCCAAAGGGTTAAATCACATCCACTTCTTTGACCTTGGGGTTTTGGGTGAAACAGTGTGGCTTGTATTCAGGGCAATATGTTATGGTATGTCTCGGCCATTGGCAGGGAGTGTGGGGGAGGAGAACTGATGCTATGAAGGTGAGTTTGGTGGAATGTGATATTCCGAAATATGTTCTCATTTCATCAGCCAAGCTCTGTTTCCATCAGGGAGTCGTACTCAAACTAGGGAGGTGACACGGCACAGAGATCCGTGTCACAGGGGTTGACTCGCACCCGTGACCCCTCGTTGTTATTTTTGGAATAGTTCAGTCCAGTCCGAAAGGTCATACTCGGATCGACTCGCCTTCTGTACTTCACCTCCAAGCGTGCCGCATGGGTGTCTAGTTTTTGAAATTATTGAGGCAGCACATTTCGTTTACAGCCCATCACTCGCCAGTATTCTTTGAAAGACTACCAGCAATTTTTTTAGCTCCTGCCATGTCCCAACTACTTGATAGCAGTGATGGCAACAGCAGCAGTTATGAGACGGCGTGTAGTGTTGCGGTAACTGTTCAGAGTCGTATCCTAGGTTAATCCGAATACTAAAAATTGACCCAAATATTAATTAATTGCACATAACACGAAGCTGGTTTTTGAAAATTGTAAGTCGTGTATCTGCCCCATTTCTTCTTTATGACTTGCACAATACACCAGTCTTCCTAAACAACACATTCATTGCAGGGGTAAAGTACCATATAAGAGAAGTACAGCCAGTGATATTGTCATGTTGAAATACTACAATTTAAGTCAATTTTGACACAAATTACACATAACACGAAGCCAGGTTTTGAAAAATGTAAGTCGTGTATCTGCCCCATTTCTTCTTTATGACTTGCACAATGGTCCAGTCTGCCTAAATAACACATTTATAGCAGGGGTTATGTACCATATTAGAGAAGTACAGCCAATGATATTGTCATGTCTAAATACTACAATTTTGACACGAATTACACATAACACGAAGTTGGTTTTTGAAAATTGTAAGTCGTGTATCTGCCCCATTTCTTCTTTATGACTTGCACAATACACCAGTCTTCCTAAAAAACACATTTATAGCAGGGGTTAAGTACCATACAAGAGAGCTACATTGTACATCTAGTCATACTGTCATAAACAGCCAGCATTTTTCCTGCAGCAGTCACACCACCATCATCATTATTTCCAAGGAAATCCTCTTACATTGTCCGCTCCTACGTCGTTAGATACAATGTAGGGGGCTGTAGGACCGGCTCGTCAAAAATAGAGAACCTGAACAAGCGTGCTCGGGACGTCTCAGCAATCGTAGTATGCCTGAGCACTCCAATAAAAACTTGATCAATGGCAAAATCGTTCGCCACAGAAAAATCATACTTTGCGGGCCTTGCGTTGCACGCTTGGAGGTGAAGTACAGAAGGCGAGTCGATCCGAGTATGACCTTTCGGACTGGACTGGACTGAACTATTCCAAAAATAACAACGAGGGGTCACGGGTGCGAGTCAACCCCTGTGACACGGATTTCTGTGCCGTGTCACCTCCCTAGTTTGAGTACGACTCCCTGGTTTCCATGAATCTCGTGCTTGAGAGTCTGTATTGTAATTGCCGGTGTGTTGTCCTTTTGTCCCTTTGTCTACTCGTGTAGGTGCTTTGGCGGGACGGTGTCCTGGTCCTCGACTCAGGCTGCGGGTGCAACTTACCAGGAGGATGATGACACTGTAACACATCATATTGTTGATAGACCAAAACAGATGCATCGCTACCTTTCAAGGTTTGTTTCGTTTTTTAAATGGATGTAAATGGCATTGGCATGTTGTCACTGTATTGACGCTTGTGCTACATGTGCCTGTGCTCATGGTTTTATTGTTTGTTTCACTGTTCATGTGTCATACTTTCTTCCACGCGTGTGTGTGTGTGTGTGTGTGTGTGTGTGTGTGCGTGTGCGTAGATATTTGTGTGCATAGATATTGGTGTGCATATGTTTGCACTTCATGTCATGCTGCTGAGATATCCTACAGCTGTGTTCAGTGAAATTGACCTGAAATGCATACCGTAGGAATACATAACCAAGAGTATGCAACTCGATGATCCCACAGTCCATTTGACTCACTGATGTCATTATGCGTAGCCAGAGATTGAAGTACAAAGAATGTGTACATCGCAGCTACGATAGTCGAAGCAGAACAACGGACGGTAGATCCATGTGTCTTGATCCTGATGAACTGACTCCATAATTATGCACAAGACAAGCGTGAAAGCATACACTTCGCCGTACCTCTGCCAAAGAATGACGCAGCACAGTAGACCAAATTCCGCAGTAGGTGAACCCATTGCAGCTCAAGATAGGAGTTGTACACTCTTGGTTATGTACTCTAGCTTGTACTAGACACAATTACATGTAGTAGCTACCTGGCAGCACTGTGGGAATCACATGTGTGCGTGTGTGTGTGTGTATGTGTGTGTGTGTGTGTGTGTGTGTGTGTGCGCATATGTGTGTGCGCATATGTGTGTGTGTGTGTGTGTGTGTGTGTGCGCATATGTGTGTGTGTGTGTGTGTGTGTGTGTGTGTGTGTGTGTGTGTGTGTGCGTGTGTGTGTGTGTGTGTGTGTGTTGTCTTGTTGACTCAATATTGTTTTCTGGCGATGGCCGCCATGTGCAGGTACTATCTACAGCCACAGTGGGTGTTTGACTGCATCAATGCCAAGAGACTGCTGCCAGTGGACCAGTATCTTGCCGGTATGTCCAACGCCGGTCATACGGTCGTACCCCTCACAATCACTCGCATCCAGAATCTAAATCAGCAGCCATGCTTCACAACATGTGTACAATGTTCTATTGCTTTGGAATGGCATGTCAGCATGACTTGAGTGAGCTCTTCTATCATGTCATGACTTGAGTGAGCTCCTCTAGTGCTGATGATGTCAGCATGACTTGAGTGAGCTCTTCTAGTGCTGATGATGCATACATGTAGGAGCACAGGTATTACTGTAGCATTGTCGTGATGGCATTGTGTCAGTACTGCCTCCATTACGTCATGGTGTAACAGCTCACTACAGTGCATTTCAAAACTATAGACGCGTAGGGTTTTTGAAGTATTTCAAATTTGGCTGGAACTTTTTGAGAATAGTTTTCGGAATATTGCTCAGGATCGCTCCACAATTACTCTCATATAGTTTCTAAAGGATTGGATAACAGACGCCCAATTTGGAAAAAATTATGCACAAAGTGATCACAGATTTTATGTGGTATAGATGCTGGCACAACGGTTTTTGCCTAGGTACGCGTCTATAGTTTTGAAATGGACTGTAATCTGATTGGGTAAATTGAAAATTGTGATTTCCCTTTTCAGGTGCTAATCTTCCACCTCATCTCTCACCATTCGTTGAAGCCGCGGAGGGAGAGTACATACCTCCAGAGCAAGTGGAGAGGATGGAAGAGGAGGGTGAGTTAGATAGTCCATCTGCATTTTTGGTGGTCCTTGTCAGGTGTCATCTGCACCCAACACTGACTGGCTGTGTGTACTTCATGCATTTACTAACTGTGTGCAAGGCAGACTGTAGTTTCTCTGAAGTACTAACTGTGTGCAAGGCAGACTGGAGTTACTCCGAAGTACTAACTGTGTGCAAGGCAGACTGTAGTTTCTCCGAAGTACTAACTGTGTGCAAGGCAGACCAGCAAACACTGCTCAAACACTGCTTCTGCTTCACACTGTACGGTACTCTAATTTCAGAAATTTTATGTGCTCAATATTTTCGGTATGAGGGCAAAGGCCAGGTTAGGTGAACAGAAATTTTAGGTACAGAGAAGCAGTTCCCTATTGGATTATGTGCGTTAGTGTTTGTTCGGTGTATTGAAGTTTTAGGTATGAAACGGACACACCGAAAGTACCGAAAATAAAAGTACACCGAAAAGTTGTGAAGTTACAGTATTCCCTTTGCTGTAAGTCTGCTCCAAGCCATGTTTACGCTGGTCAGTGAGGCAACCGCATAAACACCTGTAAGTCTGCTCCAAGCCATGGTTACGCAGGTCAGTGAGGCAACCGCATAAACAAGGTCTGCCTCTACTAGATCATACTCTGCTGCGGGTCTTAAAACACTCTGTTATCTCCGAGACTCCGGCTTTCTTCTTCCTAACTGCACTGGACTCTTCCTGTGTATACAGGTGAGGAGATTCCTGTTATGGAGCTTGAGCCAGCCAGAAAATCTAAGAAGAGAAAGGCTATGGAAGAGGAGGAAGAGACTATGAAAGAAGAGGTTTGTTGTTCTCCTGGCTGTGTCTCCATTCTCGCATTGTAGAATATATTATTAAAATAAATTAAACGAGAGAGCTTGGAAGCTCAGGGCCCTACGCTATGCTTTTTTGCCTTGATGACCTAGACAAAAAAACCATGATGTTATAAATTCTTATAAATTTCTCCTTTTTTTAAAGACATAACCTGGGATTCGAAGCCGCACTATCGCCCTGCATGCATCCCCTGATACACTTCGCATACATACTAATTCTTCCAAGTTGCTTCACGTTATGATCTTGCATTTGAAAGCCCTATTTGAATATGCATTGTGGCCAGCCGTCTTTGATGGTACGGTACGGGACAGGTACGGTCGAGGATAATATGACACCGTCTACCGCCTTGATGACCTAGGCAAAAAAGCATAAGGATGTTATAATTTTTTCAGTTCTCCAATTTTTTTAAGGCATAACCTGGGATTCGAACCCGCACTATCGCCCTACATCAAGAGTACATAACCCCCCAGCAGTCGATGCGCCAGATTTGAAAAATCACTTCGGAATACAGAGTTCTATTTTTCAGATGCACCCTTTTTGTGCACTTTTCTCAAGGCATTCTCAACATTTGATCGTTTGCATGTAAATACACTGCTTGCCAGTCTCACGCTTTCTCTGAGTTGGTCGTCGCACTCGAGGATTCAGTAGTCGCCTTTCACCTTTTTCTGTTATGAGTTCTTCAAGAACGGCGAAATTCTGTAGTTTGGTGTCGCTGCACGTCGGTTTGTCTCTTTTCCTTTTTTCGTCGAAATTTCGTCGCCCGACCTATAATTTCGTGCCACCGAATTAACCAGGCATTTCGCTGCTTCTATGCTGGACATATCGAAAGAGAAAGTCTTTCTGACATTGGAGCGGAAGTTATGTTCTGGCCGAAAAAAGGGCATGCCTCTGGTGACGTGATTTCTAACTAGTGTTTTTACGTATATTTTCCATGCATGCGTGCACATATGTCAGCGGCAGGAAGACCCAGCAATGCCACAAGCATACATACTTGACGACCATGTGACCCAGAATGCAGCATTTGCTCCAAAGACGGCAAAGTGCCATCAGACAAGCGATTTACATGTGGCTCAATGCTGTCAGACTGGCAAAAGCTACACACATGCATGCACATCCATCACGTCAGACCAATGCATTTATTGGAAGTGCGTCAAAGCACTACGACGCCAAGTATGCACAGCAGCGAAAGAAAATAAGCCACCATGTACCAGTCTGCCAAAGTACATGCAGTGTACATGATTGCAGCACAGCGGCATCCGTACACTGGTACACTGTCCGGCCTGCAGACAAACTGCACGTGCACAGTCTGAAAGAACAGTGCGAACCGGTTCTGTGCCCGGCCCATTACCAGCAGTGTGTGGGCCATGCAACATGTGCTTGGTGTAAGTCGAGGTTCACACCAGAACACAGGACAGGTGGAAGTCACCAAACTTTCAACTTGCAGAGCATGAGTTGTGTAGCATGCACAACGTCTCCCTGCCGACAGTGCACCAAGCACAGACCACCAATTGCGAAGCATCATCTCTCAATACAGCACGGAAGGTGCCGAGAGTGATCTTCCCAATAATTATAGTCATTGCCGCGACAGCACGTGAATTGCTGGACAAGGGTGCCATATTGTTGACGACAGTGGACGATTTGTATACAGAGACTTCGCACCCAACTGCTGACCCTAAGCCAGCGGCATACGTGCTCGGCAAATTGAAGTTGACCCTGGAGCACCACTTGCACGTCATTCCACCCAAGTCGCGGAAGGATGGCAGCCTGCTACGCAATGGATGTAATGCTGAGCAGGCACTACATATGATCCTTTCTGCAGAGCGTAAACACAAGATAGAGCAAACACCAACAAAGATGGAAGACCTCACTCTGCCACGCTCACAGCACAATTGATAGCCAGCAACCGAATACTGTATAGCAGGAAATTTTCGGATGGAATTTATTTTCGTACGATTTCGTACACGGCCTCTTTTGTACTAAAATTAATTCCGTACTAAAATTTGTTCATGTGAAATTATGCACACTATACATGCGTACTGCATGCGAACACGTGCATTTAGCATGCGGCACTGTACGAAAATATAATCCCTACGACAGGTCGAAATTCGGCTTTGTCCGAAAATATTTCCGTCCGAAAATTTCCTGCTATACAGTAATACCAAGAGTAAAAAAAGGTTTATGTACTCTTGGTAATACATGTACAATCATGTACAGTAAAACCTGTAACTAACAACCACCCCTTGGTGCCCGGAAAAGTGGTCGTTAGTGGCAGGTGGTCTTTAGTTAGAGGTTTGCACCGCGCGACCATATATGGATCCCATTATATGATATGTATGTCAAAATGCAGATAATACAATCCCCCACCACTTGCGCACTGACATTCTTCTTTCAGATCATACAACACTTGGAGAGAGAGAAAATCTTTTTTATACACTGGAAGCGATATGTCGACTCACTGGATGTAGTGTAGCGTAAACTGTACTGGTGTGTACCGGTACATGATGCGGCGATGTTGCGAGTTTTCGCACCTTTCACTGGTCTGTGTTCCGTACAGGTGAGTACATAATACCGTAGCATACAGGGAGTCGGGACTCCCTGCCTGGTACTGGTAGCATGCTAGCTAGCCAGCACAGACTGTCAGTGTGACCTGGTGTAGTGGTGAGTCTGGTGACTGAGCTGTGTGATTGCACTTCGACAGAGAGCCGCTCAGTCTTAGTTTCTCCTTCGAGTAGTAACATCGATCAAAGAGCGCTTTGGATGCGTTCTCCAAGACGTTTCCTATCATGTTTGTTCTTGACAGCACTTGAAATTATGACAGGTGTAGTGCAATCCACACTGATTCCACAGTAAAAATGAGACTGCGCTCATTTGTCCAGCTATAGTATCGAAACGACCATGGAAAATCATCAAAATTTCGAGAAGGAGCTTCAAGCAATGTTTGATTTGCTACATCGCGGTCGCTAGTTACGGGTCAAAATTCGACATTGGGACAAGAAAAGGCGGTCGCTGGTCGCGTTCAGCAGGTAGTCGCTAGTCACAGTGCATTTTGAATGTGAGACCGTCCGTGCCTGACAAAGTGGTCGGTAGTACCAGGCCGGTCGCTAGTCACGGTGGTCGTTAGTTACAGGTTTTACTGTACTTCACTGTTCACAAGTACACACCATGAGAACCCATTTACACCAAGTTCTATTATCGGGCAATGCCATTATGCTCCTAGCACGCGGCACAAGAAAATTATAGAGCTTCGCCGGCATTGCCTTGATTTTGTCGTAATGTGATGGTGTGTGCGTGCGTGTGTGTATGGTGTGTGTGTGTGTGTGTGTGTGTGTGTGTGTGTGTATGTATGTGTGTGTGTGTGTGTGTGTGTGTTGTGTGTGTGTGTGTACATTACATATTGCCCTATCAAAAATCGGATGGTGAGCCTATGTAAGGCATGGATAAAAAGAATAAGGACAAAATGTTACGAGTTATGACTAACTGTCCACCATGTACCAGTGTAGCTAGATCATATACAGTCGGCGAGTGCGACAAAAGGCACAAACTGAAAGGGAATACTAAGACATACAACGACCAAATAATATTCCAATAATTTTGACCTGGAAAGAAATGTCTATAATTTCGTGCCGTCGGATTAACCAAGCATGCAACAAAAGGAAAAGTATACACGCTTAGACATATATTATTAGGCAATTATCTGCACCAACCTGCATTCCGGCCGAAGCATCATGTCGGGTGTGGTGGGTCGGCATTCCAACGTATCTCCACACACCAGGAAATCGTGAAGCGAGAATTCTCTCGTCTGCAACTGGCAAAGTCTTCACTTGACACTCAAGTTGAAATTTCTAGATACCTAGCTAATAGGAGCAGACTTCAGGACATTTGTCGCACTCGGGAATCGTCAGTTCGATCCGTACAGGGTTGGCTAGACACAAGAAATATAGCAAATTTCATTGACTGACATCTTCATCTTTACCAACACAGCTCACCACATAAACTTTCGCGCGAAAAAAATAAAAAGACCCACTCAGCTAGCTTGGCGCATCGACTGCCAGAGTGTGCAACTCCCACATACCCTGTTGTCCCGACAGAATTTCAAGTTGACGTCATTATTTATGACGCAATGCTCCTTGCAGCAGTGATTTACAACATGTGTACGGGTGTCAACGCATCACACGTTTTTCTTTGCAATAATTTGTACAGGATCGATCGGCTTCGGTCAACCACAGGTTCCGGATTCGTCTGATAATCCGTGTACAGTGCGCATTGCATCATCAAAATGACGTCAACTTGAAATTCTGTCGGGACAGCACCCATAGTGGAGTTGCACACTCTGGGGGGTTATGTACTCTTGCCCTACATGCATTCCCCCATACACTTCGCATTCATACTCATTCTTCCAAGTTGCTTCACGTTATGATTTTGCGTTTGAAAGCCCTATTTGAACATTGCGGCCAGCTGTATGTGGCCAGCTGTGTTTGATGGTACGGTACGGGACAGCTACGGGATAGCGCCAGGCGTGACACAAACACACAAACAAACACACAAATACCAAATTAAAGCTGTATGGACCCTGGCTAGCGCCAGACGTTACTGAAGTAAGGTCTTCTGCATAGCTACGGGAATAAATTATCTGTAGTACTGTTTTATACAAGAATGCAGATCCTCGGTGACCAGCACATTATCACCAGCACATGTTTGTCAATGCACGCCAATGTAGCCCTGCATTTAGTTGAAGATTGTGTCAACTATCAACATGGGAATGCGAACTGGCATCATATCATTTTCTCAGAGAAAGCCAAGTGCTGCAGGTATTTGAGCAATCACCACTGCTTGGTTGGCTTCTCTAGTTTCTCACCTGCTTCCGTTCATTGATTGGTTTGATTTTTGACTGATTCATTTATGTGCTGGCTTTTGTGCTTTTGCGTTCTAGCTTCACAGTGGTGCTGGAGAGGCACTGATTCGACCTGGTGTAGTGGAGAAACCGGAAGATCCCAACAAACTTGCTAAGAAGCAAGCTGAGGAAGAGAAACGCCTTGCAATCATGGCTATGCCCAAGAAGAAGAAGAGACTCTATGGCAAGATCATGCAGTCAAGACAGAAGAAGTCCACAGAGGTGTGTTGTGTACTTTGGCTGTGTGTGTGTTTTGTACGGGGGGGGGGGGGGGGGGTGATGTTGGTATCAGCCAGAGCAGAGCAGCTTGGGACAGTGCCAGTAGTGTTCACAAACACTTGCGCCTATCCCTCAACACTTGCAATTTCATAGAATGCCAAATTAGAGTTTGCAGGTCAATGGATCATGGTCCATGTCATGTAGCTACCACACATGCCGTTTGAATTTGATCCTGCTGCTAAGGTCCCAAACCATGAGCGACCACTGGTAACTACTGCAGGAAAGGGGTGGGGGGTAGGCTTTTGGAGTGATGTGCTGTGAGAAAATAGTCGACATTTCCTAAGCTACAGTCAGGAGGAACACAGTTTGAATAACCGGGGAAACCATAGTCCCATGCCCAGGGGATAGTCCCAGGGGATAGTCACTGGAAAATTGTAATACATGGAGTCACTTTTGGAGTGCATGTACTAGTACTTACTCTAAATGATTTCAGTCTGTGTGTTATACATTATACACAGTCACATGAATCCGGACCCATAGTGCCATAGTGTAGTCCCATAGTGTACTGCCATACTGTAGTCCCATAGTGTAGTCCCATAGTGTAGTCCCATAGTGTAGTCCCATAGTGTAGTCCCATAGTGTAGTCCCATAGTGTACTGCCATACTGTAGTCCCATAGTGTAGTCCCATAGTGTACTGCCATACTGTAGTCCCATAGTGTACTGCCATACTGTAGTCCCATAGTGTAGTCCAAGAACATCGACGCACAGTTTCTTGCATTTTTTGGCAAGGTTGTAGAGTACTGTATTCAGAGTTCTTTTGGAGTTTGGAGGGTTTTCTACATTACAATCGGGTATGGGTATGATGCTACTAGTCTGTATTGGACCGGTACGCAACTATTGTGCAGGTTTACACGTCTGTTTTGAAATGGGCTCTACTTTCTGTTGCTAGAGATATCTAGAGCTGCTATGATATCTGCGACGGCAGAACTATACATCGCGTGACACACCCGTACACTTTATTTGCAGATTTGAGTTTCAACTCTACCGATGGTCACTTTTCACTTGTTTTGTCAGCTCAACCTTTTGAGCCTTGTCATGTGATGTGACAGTCTAACAGCGCAGCACTGAATAGTGGCTGCGCAGGCACACCTGAAATGATTGGTCAACCGCCCTTAGCCAATCAGAGTTCAGCAAGTGTTTTCTTCTTGGCTTGCCGATGGCTAGACTCTTGTTGTTTCTGCATGAGGAAGGAGAAGCTGGAAAAGAAAATCTAAAGTTCTTCTCCGGTAGAATTTTCCATCAGCAAGCCAAGAAGAAAAAACACTTGCTGAACTCTGATTGGCTGAGGGCGGTTGACCAATCATTTCAGGTGTGAAGTTCAGAGCCAGGATATGCTATAAAAGAAATCATTCCAGGAGGGGATGGTGGTCGGGGTTTGGGATGGCTAGAAATTTTAGATTTTCTTCTCCGGTAGAATTTCCCGGCTTGTTTCTCCTTCCTTTTGGACAGTACTTGAGCATTCTTAAACTTCGTTGCATGAAATATTGCTATATTTCTATATTGCTACCTTTTCAGGTTCGGAAGTTGAAGCAGCGTCGCGAGGTGCTAGAGCAGCAGAAAGGCAAGAAGGCAAAAGCTAAGTAGATGGCAGCACAGCAAGAGGGACAGGGAATCTGCGCATGGAAACAAACGCAGGGTTCGGAGCTGGAAGACGATTCACAATGTACATACAATAATTAGCATAAGAGCAGCAGCAGCATGTGCTGTGCATGCTGCTGTCCTAACAATATTTTCATGCAAGTAGACTGACTGTGAGAAGGGAGGTGTGCTGTCATTTTTAATGTTTTCCTATCCATACTTCTCGTCTTCTATGCTGCTACTATTAGTATCATAAAAAAGTACATTGTAAATAGATCATGAAAGATAACAAGATCCTGCTTGAACTGGTACATCAGATGATGGAATCTATAAGTGGGTGGGCTGTGTGCATCCTGGTGTGAACTAAGTAACATAAATTCATCTTATTAAAAGATTTCAGATATTGAATCATTTAAAACTGGAGAGAAATGATGTAGGTCTACTCTTGAGGGATATATTATAATAGGGAAGTTAGTGAAAATAGGAAAATGAGAAAATAATCAGGTACCGGAATGCAACAACTTTACGATATGTACTATCAAGTAGACCGCAACTTCCCATTGATATCTTGCGCAGCGAGCGACATGTGGTCCATGTCATTGTTTGCGACATGGTATGATCAAGATGTCCTCTGCACAATCATCCATGTCATTGTTTGCGACATGGAATGATCAAGATGTCCTCTGCACAATCGTCCATGTCATTGTTTGCGACATGGAATGATCAAGATGTCCTCTGCACAATCGGAAATTGGGTGCTACATGCAGAAGAAACACAGATTGAATAGATGAGCCTAGCCAAATCAATAAGCCATCGAGCCTACTTCAGTAGCCAAATCAATAAGCCATCGAGCCTACTTCAGTAGCCAAATCAATAAGCCATCGAGCCTACTTCAGTAGCCAAATCAATAAGCCATCGAGCTTAGCCAAATCAATAAGCCACCTTTGGTTCAACATCTGTTCATTCATTCCCCACAATTCCGATGCCTTTTGTAGAACAAATGTGAATTTTTTTATCACCCCTGTAAAAACTGCAATCCGTGTCGTATTTAGCGTGTGCGACGCCTTCGAGTACTATTTTTTTTACCCCGCCAGTCAAAGTGACTATCATGTACGCCTGATATGCGCTGAAAAATAAATCATGTTGAAATTTCCATTTCAGCGCGGTTCCATACGTACGGCGCCCCAAAAGCCAGCAAACATACGCACAAATGCGTGGTTTCACGCGTACACGCGCCAGTTGAGAACACAGCTGAAGAGTTGAATCTCTTGAAACGTTACTAGTTTGCTATTATATCAGTTCGAATGGCTTATTTCTTGCTTCCATACAATAAGCCAAACTTGCCAAATCGCCAATTGTATGCTCACGTTGCCATAGCGACCAGCACAGTGATGACGTACGAACGGCTTAGCTCCACCAGAGAGAAGGTTGGTCACTGCAAAATTTGGTCATTTTCAATTGGTTTATTGTATTCACGAAGTGAAAGAAGGGTTGTACTCAACCATGTTATAGGGTATTCACACGACGTGAAAATGAACGAAAACACGTTTGTGTAAAAGTGGACAAGCTGCCCATCGGATTCACACGGACAACAGACCCCGTGCAAATCTCGCATGCGTCTGTGTACTCATGTAACTTGAGTACCATACTCAAGTACATTCGCTGTTTTTACACACGCGCAAAGGACTAACGTGGGCCTATAATGTAGGACCCCGAGCAAGTTTATCAAGATTTTGCACGTGCTTGGGTCACACGAGTAAAAGAGTACCACACACGTGAGTTTGCGCGTCGTGTGAATCCCCTATAATGCAGTGAACTGTTTGTTAGTAGTCCTCGTTGTGGCCGCCAAGTGAGGAAAGTTAGCAAATCGTTAAATTTTAGACTCGTACATATCAACTCTTACAGTAAGGCTTTTTGAAATCGTTTGGTCTGATCCAGATCCACAGATCATTTTCTTGCCAAACAAGGCCTTGGTGGGTAACAATCATTGTGCACAATAGACACTTTCTATCAAATGATTTCTTTCCCTTCTCTTCAGTATAGTACAGGGAATGTTGGAAATTTGGAGAAACACATACTTGAAGTAGCTATTATACCACTATTGCTGGACTTCTATCGTGACATACAGGTAGTTTGGTTGACTACCAAACTTTGCAAAGGCAGACAATTGTTGGAAATTATCAGCGCTGAGTTTCTTGGAACAGGCTGTAGCACATGGTAGCAGGAGTCTCTTTGGCAGTGAGTATTTTACTACTCACTGATCGAGAGAATCCTGATCCGCATACTGTACCTGCATACTTCGGTACCCATCTTACCCCAATCTCACCCGCCGGGTGAAAACGGTTTTGAGGCAATCGTCAAGCTGGCCATGCATGCTCGTGTCACCTCCCGACATTTTACTACTCCCTGGTATGAACCCTGGAGTAATTTTTTTCGATTGCCATTTTCCATGTCAACAAAGCCACAGTAGCCGTGTGGAAAATGGGATTGATTCTGAGGGAGCCAGTGGATCTGGAGTTTGGATCTGGATTCAGATCCAACGAAACGATCACAGCCTAAAATAATCCTGATTTCTGGAGACTCTGTACGACACCCTCCGACACCTCCGTACTCTACATAGTAGTTCCGCTTACTACACTAAGGGCATGTTCGATTGGTAAGGATCGGGATCGGGATCCAGATCTCAGATCCGTCGGATCCTTCAGAGTCAACTGGACACTTTTTTGGGTCTTGACTGTTGCCAAGTTGACGAAGGAATAAAAAGTCGTACTCAACGTGCTAGTTGTACAAAAATTCGACAAGCTGTATCTCGATCCACGTGTGCGTACCACAATGTGTACAAAAACGATTTTTACCCGCCATATACGCACAAAGGTCACATTTGGATCCGTTGGATCCGGTCAACCCTGCTCCCCGAGGTGGGTTGACTGGATCCAAATCCGAAGGATCCGGATCCGGATTCGACCAATCGAAAGGGTGCGAATCCAGTGGATCCGGTGGATCGGGATCCCGATCCTACCAATCGAACATGCTTTAAGTTTCTCAGTGACTAAAGGGGTCATCCACAAATATCAAAACATAGAGAAGATATGGATGGTACTGTATGGATGGGGGGGGGGGGGGGGTACTGTATGGATGGGGGGTACTGTATGGATGTGGGGGGTACTGTATGGATGGGGGGTACTGTATGGATGGGGGGGGGGGGGGTACTGTATGGATGGGGGGGGGGGTACTGTATGGATGGGGGGGGGGGGGGGGTACTGTACAAAGTGAGTCTACAACACATGTAGTTGATGATCTACAAAAAGTGAAGTGGTCAACCTCGCCACGGCAAGGTGTTGCTACCGTCGCAATGAAAACCTAGGTGTACCGTGAATTTGGAGTTGCGGTTGGTCACGTTTCATGAGGAGATTGCCTTTCATTAAAAAATATCGATCCCTGCATAAAGGTGTGCGTGTTCGTTTCGAGCGGCGAGGAGGGGAGGGGTCTGGAGAGAAACGAACCAATATCGTTTTTAAACAAATATTAGTATTACTACGGATGGCCCCAAGTACACTTACTTTCATGTGGTATCTCAAGAGATCGGACATACTCTGGTGTCTCAATGGCCAGCCTGGCACGCGATAGTGACCCAGCTCATCAAGGACAATACGGAAATGTTTGCACCTGTCAGCCACCCTGCACATTGAGCACAGGAACACACAATTTACATGCATACAACATACATACTCTCCTCTTCTTTGTAGAATTATCACAATTACCATAGGTCCCATTGCTATGTTTCGCTGTGTGTGTGCCAACCACATGTCTTGTTAGCACACACAGCAAAAATAGCAATGTGGCATATGGAATGGTCATTGAGAGGGCATAGGCAGGAGCAGGTGCAATGACTCATAGACAGCAGGTGCAATGACTCATAGACATCAGGTGCAATGAATCATAGACATCAGGTGCAATGAATCATAGACAGCAGGTGCAATGACTCAGACAGCAGGTGCAATGGGAATAGGCAGGAGCAGGTGCAATGAGAATAGGCAGGAGCAGGTGCAATGACCACATGTGGCGACTACAAGATATAGAATCGGGATTCGCACGACATCTTGGGAATGCCATAGAATGTAGGGCAACAGTCTGGGGTAAATTCTAAGTTTGGTGCACAACTATGGAAAGCTCAAGGTGTACATGCCACCAGCACTCGTTCAACCTGGACTTGCTACTGGAGCAATGCTCTGCTTTCTGAATGCTGAACTACCTTTAATGTATGTACTCCTGCTTGCGCATGGCCTGCTTCACAACTTGTGACTAACCTTAGGGATATGGAGAAGAGACCACCATGGGCCGATCCATCCCGCAATAAGAATGTACCCACAGATTTCGGTGCAAGTAGATCTTCTGCCTCTCTGCAAGACAAGTGTATACATGGCAGATATCACATGGCAGATATCACATGGCAGATGCATGCAGAGAACAACTCAGTCATGCTAGTACAGTGCGCAAATAACACTATTGTTATTGTGTTGGCATAGCACTTTGAAAACCAGTACGCAGACGCTCACGCACTCTACAAAGCTCTGGTTAGTACAGGTTAGTACAGTGGTTAGTACAGTGGTTAGTACAGGTTAGTACAGGTTAGTACAGTGGTTAGTACAGTGGTTAGTACAGGTTAGTACAGGTTAGTACAGTGGTTAGTACAGTGGTTAGTACAGGTTAGTACAGGTTAGTACAGGTCTAGTACAGGTTAGTACAGGTTAGTACAGGTCTAGTACAGGTTAGTACAGGTTAGTACAGGTCTAGTACAGGTTAGTACAGTGGTTAGTACAGGTTAGTACAGTGGTTAGTACAGGTTAGTACAGTGGTTAGTACAGGTTAGTACAGGTTAGTACAGGTTAGTACAGGTCTAGTACAGGTTAGTACAGTGGTTAGTACAGGTTAGTACAGTGGTTAGTACAGGTTAGTACAGGTCTAGTACAGGTTAGTACAGGTCTAGTACAGGTTAGTACAGGTTAGTACAGGTTAGTACAGGTCTAGTACAGGTTAGTACAGGTTAGTACAGGTTAGTACAGTGGTTAGTACAGGTTAGTACAGGTCTAGTACAGGTTAGTACAGGTTAGTACAGGTTAGTACAGGTTAGTACAGGTTAGTACAGGTTAGTACAGGTTAGTACAGGTTAGTACAGGTTAGTACAGGTTAGTAGGGTGGTCTAATGAAATAAGTTCTCAAATAACATCACAGCCTCCACCACAGGTAGTACAGTAGCGGTGCACGCACATTATCCTTAAGTTGACCTTAAGCCTTTCTTTACCATCCGTGCATACTTGAATCGATCTCTGGAGATCTCTGGACATGCATACACTAAAACGTTCGTAACTCGATCGTTCCAAAGATATCACACTCGACATTTCAGCCACGGCAAAAGTCGATTTTTTCTGAGTGACTGACCTTGAACGGGGGATTTCCCTTCTCCTGACATGCTGGGTCACTTTGGCATGCTTTGAGCGCGTGGCCAGCATGAAAAGAAACTCGAGCAAAACATGTGGAATGTTTACGATGAAGGAGCGATAAATGGCTGGCGAGGAGAGAATTTCCTCGTATATCCAGCGATGGGGAGTATTTGAAGCTCCCTGGCGCTGGATATGTGACCCGGTCGTGTCCAGTTTGAGCTCAATGTACGCAGCTTGTGGAGAGCTTTCAGAATGCCCAAGATTGTGGAAATTGGTTGATTAGAACCGAAGATATTCTCACAATAAGGTGAGAAATATTGCATATGGGGCTGCTGGGGAATTTTGGTCGGATGGTAAAGGGTTAACCGTATCCTAAAAATAAGTCTTGTTTATCAATACACACACGCCCGCACAAACACACACTCACGCACGCACACGCACACACACGCACGCACGCACGCACGCACACACACACACACACAATGTACCATGTATACGCCCGTCGCAAGAGAAGCACGCAAATCTGCAAATGCACCGGATGTGCATCCAGAGAGTTTCCCTTTATAGCAACGATAGCGGATCTGATTCTGATTGAAACATATCAAGACAAGCTCCAGATAACTGTCTAATCCCCACAACTGGCGAAGCCATGTGAATCGATCCCCCAATGCACACCTGGTCTACACCACACGGCGTACTTCGGAATAGGACGGCCAAGACAGTTACCTATGCACACCCTACACAAGGCAGTTACCATGGTTACCTATGCACACCCTACACTTGCTGGGGTAACAGCACGTTGCTTTGATAAAAGCAGACACTAGACGCACTGGTAACTTGAAGTGAAATTGGAGCTACTATACCAACCAGCCTCGGCAACTGGGTATTGGAAACCCAGTTGCCGAGGCTGGTTGGTAAACCACACACACACACACACACACACGCACACACACACACACACACACGCACGAACACACACACACACACACGAACACACGCGCACACAAAACATGTGAACACACACGCACGTGTGAACACATATGCACGTGAACACCCCTGCACACACACACACACACACACACACACACACACACACACACTACTACTACTATGATACAGCTACCCTAAACGGGTCACGCCGCCCTCCACTCAAGCATGAGCACTATGAGGGGCAGTGGCAAATAAATAGAATCAGCTAGCAGAACTGGCAAAACAGATGAAACAATGGAGCAGAACGGACGACTGCTGTACTGTAACAACAACCTGACAGCTACAGTGACAACGACTGAAAATGAACAGGAAGGAAAAAAATTCAAAATATCACGTCACGAAAAAACACTGTCCACGAAAGAATCCACCAAGCAAAAGGAGTGTGGGCATCCGAAATCCCACCAGGACTCCACTAGCAGTTCTTCCACGTTGACGGTGTAAGCGGCAGGGCAAGGCCTCACAAATCCGACAGACTTCCACAACGCTTGACCAGTGCACTCATGACGACGAAAGATTGAAGTTTCAATTCCCACCATTCCGCCATTGGGACCTTCCTCTCCGCACTCGCTCGTCCACTCCACTGAAAACAACGAGTTGTTCCAGCACTCCACCAGCCAATCCGCAATTCCCACCACTGCATTCTGCGAGCTTGGATTCTTCACAGCACTCGAGGGACAGCTACTCCACTGCGAGTGGTGGACCACGGCCGACGCAGCAGTGACAATATCAAAGTAAATTGTCCTGCAAGCTACATCGCGATTCCGCGCTCCAATCATGCAGCACTACCTTGGCAGTGTGCGAGGGTGCTCCAGGGTCGACTCTGGCTACGCCAGAGTCGCCCTGGGCAGGCAGAAAACTTGGGAGAAAGCCAAGAACACGGAGCTCAGAAAGTGTAACCTGCTCCCAAGGAGCACAAAACACACATACACACACACACACACCTGCACACACACACACACACACACACACACACACACACACACACACACACACACACACATATGCACGTGAACACACCTGCACACACACACACACACACACACACACACACACACACACACACACACACACCTGCACACACACACACACACACACACACACACACACACACACACACACACACAGCAGTGTACCATACGCAGGAGACTTACATTCTACTCAATCCCTTGTAGTACCAAGTCATGGATGTGACACTACTGGACATGCGACGTTCTGGGCGAGGTGGTGCTAGTGTCGCTGACCTTGCTGAACCATGCCTTGAGCCAGGGTGACCCAACGTGTGGCTGCCAGTCGAACCATGCCTTGAGCCAGGGTGACCCAACGTGTGGCTGCCAGTCGCACGGTTCCACTGCAAGTGGCAGTGGCAGGATTCAAGAGAAACAGCAACAACGATGACCATGCTGACAACAACACCAGTCACACTACGCAAAAGTCATATATTATTATGCGCGTGCGCAGAGGAAGACAATGTAAACGCCAGGGAGTCGTACCCAAACAACTCCCTGGTGAACGTATACATTATAGCACAAGGCCAAACAGAGGGCGGTGAATTCATACAACTTTGCTCTAGTGAAATCAGCCACTCCAATGGCCGAGCTTGCAGCTAATTTCTCTTACATTAGCTTTCTCTTACATTGGCTTTCTCTTACATTGGCTTTCTCTTACATTGGCTTTCTCTTACATTGGCTTTCTCTTACATTGGCTTTCTCTTACATTGGCTTTCTCTTACATTGGCTTTCTCTTACATTGGCTTTCTCTTACATTGGCTTTCTCTTACATCGGCTTTCTCTTACATCGGCTTTCTCTTACATCGGCTTTCTCTTACATCGGCTTTCTCTTACATCGGCTTTCTCTTACATCGGCTTTCTCTTACATCGGCTTTCTCTTACATCGGCTTTCTCTTACATCGGCTTTCTCTTACATCGGCTTTCTCTTACATCGGCTTTCTCTTACATCGGCTTTCTCTTACATCGGCTTTCTCTTACATCGGCTTTCTCTTACATCGGCTTTCTCTTACATCGGCTTTCTCTTACATCGGCTTTCTCTTACATCGGCTTTCTCTTACATCGGCTTTCTCTTACATCGGCTTTCTCTTACATCGGCTTTCTCTTACATCGGCTTTCTCTTACATCGGCTTTCTCTTACATCGGCTTTCTCTTACATCGGCTTTCTCTTACATCGGCTTTCTCTTACATCGGCTTTCTCTTACATCGGCTTTCTCTTACATCGGCTTTCTCTTACATCGGCTTTCTCTTACATCGGCTTTCTCTTACATCGGCTTTCTCTTACATCGGCTTTCTCTTACATCGGCTTTCTCTTACATCGGCTTTCTCTTACATCGGCTTTCTCTTACATCGGCTTTCTCTTACATCGGCTTTCTCTTACATCGGCTTTCTCTTACATCGGCTTTCTCTTACATCGGCTTTCTCTTACATCGGCTTTCTCTTACATCGGCTTTCTCTTACATCGGCTTTCTCTTACATCGGCTTTCTCTTACATCGGCTTTCTCTTACATCGGCTTTCTCTTACATCGGCTTTCTCTTACATCGGCTTTCTCTTACATCGGCTTTCTCTTACATCGGCTTTCTCTTACATCGGCTTTCTCTTACATCGGCTTTCTCTTACATCGGCTTTCTCTTACATCGGCTTTCTCTTACATCGGCTTTCTCTTACATCGGCTTTCTCTTACATCGGCTTTCTCTTACATCGGCTTTCTCTTACATCGGCTTTCTCTTACATCGGCTTTCTCTTACATCGGCTTTCTCTTACATCGGCTTTCTCTTACATTGGCTTTCTCTTACATTGGCTTTCTCTTACATTGGCTTTCTCTTACATTGGCTTTCTCTTACATTGGCTTTCTCTTACATTGGCTTTCTCTTACATTGGCTTTCTCTTACATTGGCTTTCTCTTACATTGGCTTTCTCTTACATTAGCTTTCTCTTACATTAGCTTTCTCTTACATTAGCTTTCTCTTACATTGGCTTTCTCTTACATTGGCTTTCTCTTACATTAGCTTTCTCTTACATTGGCTTTCTCTTACATTGGCTTTCTCTTACATTAGCTTTCTCTTACATTAGCTTTCTCTTACATTAGCTGACCATGGGTTACATATACTGTAAAAGCAGAAATTTCGGTGGTGTAATATTTTCGGTATTCTCCAAAATCGGCGGTTCGGTAGCGGGAAATTTTCGGTAAAACCCGTTCTCCAGGTAGGTGTACTAGTACTACATGTATACAGTATCGGTTGTACCGAAATTTTCGGTGCGTTTTATTATCGGTAAAAATTGTCGGCACCGAAGTTACCGAAAATAAAACACCACCGAAAATTTCTGCTTTTACAGTATACGTATAGATAAGTTGCAACAACAACTTGGGACCACTTGGGACCACTTGGGACCACTTGGGACCACTTGATGTGAGCTTCACCATCGGAGATCCCGTATACCGAGCTGCACAGTTTGGGGATTTATTCCTGAAACTATGGAAAAGTACTGTAAGCTGCACAATATTTGTCCACTAAATTGTAGCAATTTCTTAAAACCAGCGAGTTTATGATGGCAAATGTTCGCGGAACACTACGGCCACATAGGTACATGCATCCACTGTGGACGTTTGATGCAGTGCTCGTGGTGCATTGTATACAACTGCTAATTGCAACTAGCAAGTACTAGGTTGGCTCAACATATTCACGCAGACTCACATCAGTGTCAGGTGTCATTGCCGACGAGCGATGGATTGTATGGAATCCCTGACCGGCAGCGTGTGATTGCAATCCTGTGGAAGCACCGCTGACTGTTGATCTCCGTGCTGAGAATTGTCGAGACTGGCCACTGGCCTGGTGACGTGCAACAGACGACTCGCCATCATCAACGTCATCTGCGTCACCTGTAGCTAGGGGCAGATGATGTGTAGAATGGGCAATCGGAGAAGTTCTAATACTGGTGGCACTGTCGGAAGGAGTGGTGCTATTTAGGGGCAAGCCTATGGTAACTGAACCAGTCACTGTAGAGCGACGAGCAGCAGCAACAGCAGGGTGAAGCACAAGATGGCCAAATTGCTCATCAGATGTCTGAGCTGGTGCACGTAGTGTCAGGGGCAAATTAGCAGTTGGTTGCGGGTTGGTTGTAGGGAGCGGAGTGTGACATAGACTAGCACTTCTTGCTGCACGACCATGTGTTGTTGTACCTAGTTGTTGCCAGTCCACATTGCTTTCCTGGCCAGGGCTTGGCCTACTACTAGCTGCGACCGCAGCAGCAGCTTCAAGTGTAGCTCGGAGAGCTGGGGACACTGGGTCAGCGCTGTAGTCATTGTTGCTGCTGGTTGCTTCAGGCACCATGCGAACTGATGCAGCTCTAGATAACTCAGAATTGGCAAGCACCTTTTGTCTACGTGGCTTAGCTTTTGGAAAAAGCGACCCAGAATGTGTACTGCTGCGTGGCCGAGAGGTTGATGCTGCTGCAATAGACTCAGCAGGATTATTACGTGGCGCATGTGATGACTGATCTACGCCCCTGATGAGGATGCTGCTGCTGATGGCGGTGTTGTTGCTGGTGGTGGTAGTGTGGTTGGTGTTGTTGTTGGTGGTGGCGGTATCGTCCAGTGGATTAGTTCCCCGTAGAGAGGTTGCAGTCCAGTCTATCCTAGCTGGAGTGGGTGAATCGTTGTCATCAGTGCTGCTAAGCCGCACTGCTACAGCACTGGGAGTCTTGTTGCTATTGTCTAGATTCCTAGACTGAGAAAACACTTGTGAGGATGGTGATGCCGGCTGGTGTTGTGGCTGGTGGTGGTTAAAACCAGACCAATCAGTTGACCAATCAGTTGGTGATAGCGGCGGGGGTGCATGACCGGCGGCGGCATCACTACCAGGTGTAGGAGGATCAGGGAGATCGAGCTGGAAGGTGGCACTGCTGAAGGCATCCTCATTGCCAGTTGTGGGAGGATCGGGGAAATCAAGCTGGTCATTGCCGAAGGGATCCGGCAGTGAAAAGGGATCAGGTGGTGTGGTAGGAGGTGTGGATGGCAAAACAGGCTGCGTCTCCTGACGCTTGCCCTTGCCGGAAGAATCAGGTAATGTACGGATTGTGGGCGGAATAGGTGGTGGTACATTGGAGACAGGCTGCCGCGTAGTAGCTGTTGGCGAGACAGGCTGCCGCGTAGCTGTTGGCGAGACAGGCTGCCGCGTAGCTGTTGGCGAAACAGGCTGTGCAGAGGTTGGTGAAACAGTGAACCCTCCAGAAAAAGATGTTTTAGCATAGTCTTGGTGTGAGTGCAAGGCTGTTAACACGTTT